CAGATCTGACTGGTACAGGAGGAGATTGCCCCCTCCTTCTCCAGCAGAGCATCTGGTGCATTTGAACCGTGTACCTCTGGGATTGCAGTGCAGCGTCTTGCCACTAGGCTACCAGAGCTCCCTTACAGTTTTCATCTTAACAAAAAAAAAAAAAAAAGAGGAGAAAAGGGTGCAGAGAAGAAGAGCAGATATGACCTAGAAAGAAAACCAGGAGTGGATCCCGTCCTCCACACCCTGATCCCCGAGCTAGGAAGCTGCTGGACACAGTGGAAGACCAAGACACAGGGTGATCTCCGAGAACCTACAGATGCTGAAGGAGACAGGGACCTTCCTCCAGAACTAACACAGAGAGAAAGCTTTCTCCTAGAGCTAGGGCCCTGAATTTGGACTCCTGAACTGTGAGAGAAGCAGCTTGTCTGTTAAAGCTATCCACTGGGGTATTTCCACTATCACAGCATAAGGTAATTCTTCCTTTTTTTTAGATTTTAATGAAAGTTTATAGAGAACTTGGATTTCCATTCATTCATTGTTGCGTATCTTCCTCCCTGCCCTCGCCCCCCGCTGTTCACTTTTCTCTTTGAAAAGAAAAAAAAATTCATTGTCATACAGTCCTCCTCCCCAAGTCTACTTTACTATGCAGCTCCTACTCTGAACTCTTGTCATGAAAATAATACCTAATTATATATCCTTTTTAAACAGTTCTCTGACTCATCTATTTCAATGCAGTGTACATTATTTTGCCGCTCTTTTCTTAGTTTCTCCCCAAGTCCAACGTCAGTCCCGTTTTACAACAGTGACATGTAGTATTTGTCCTTTCGTGACAGATATTTCACTCAGCATATCCTCCAGCGTCACCCATTTTGTATAATATTTCATGAGTTCCTTGTTTAATGCAGCATTGTAGTCCATTGTGTGAATATACAATGGGAACTTGGGTTGTTTGTCTTTGCTATTGTGAACAAAGCTGTGATAGACATGGGAGTGCATATATCTGCTTGGGTGGCAGTTATGGTCTCTTTAGGGTATATTCCCAGTAGTGGAATCGCTGGGTCAAATGGTATCTCTATTGGCAACTTTTTGAGAAAGTGCCACACAGCCTTCCACCATTTTACACTCCCACCAATAGTGCATAAGTGTTCCAGTTTCTCCACACCTTGCCAGCATTTGTTGTTTACTGCTCTGTTGAACTTTGCTATTGTTACTGGGTGAGATGATATAATTGTTCTGGAGTAATTATTCCTAAGGGACACTTCCTTAAGCCTTGCTTAAGGGGCACTGGTGACCTAGTCCATAGGGAGTTACATTGCTAACCCAAAGGCCACCCTCATTGTTTGAACTGGACACCACCAACTCCTGGGGAGAAGGGTGGGCAGTCTTCTCTCACGTGATTTGAAGCCTCAGGAACTCAACAGAGGATCAGCTATGATTCAGTTCTGACTCTACAGTAAACAGTTTGAGAGTGTTTTCAGTTTGAGCTAATGTGTTCCTTTTACCAACTCAGGATTGATTATAGTATCAGAGATAAATCATCAGCATAAATTAACTTTGTGATCCTCTTGGCTGGGTTTCATTGACTGTGTGGATCACAACAAACTGTGGCTACCCTTGAGAAAAATGGGTATCCCAGAACACTTGATTGTGCTTAGGCGAAACCTATACTTGGACCAGGAGGCAGTTGTCAGAATAAAGCAGAGAAACATCACATGGTCCAGAGAGGAGTGCATCAGGGATGTGTCCTGTTTCCATACCTTTTCAATCTATATGTGGAACAGATCATTTGAGAGGTTGGACTTTATGAAGAGGAATGTGGCATCATGACTGGATGAAGACTCATCAACAATCTGTGTTATGCAGATGATAAAACCTTGCTGGCAGAAAATCAGGAAGATCTGAAGCATTTGCTGCAGAAAGGTCAAGGACTGCAGCCTTCAAAATGGATTGAAGCATAACATCAAGAAGACAAAGATTCTCACCCTGGGCCAATGGGCATCACCATAAGAGATGGAGGTTGTTAACAATTTCAGCTTGCTCGGCTCCACAATCAACACTTTTGGCACCAGCAGTCAGGAAATCAAAAGACTAACTGCACTGGAAAAGTCAGCTGTCAGGTACTGTGCCAGAGTGCTGAGGAGCAATGATGTCAGTCTAGAGACTAAGGTGCACCTGATCCAGGCCATGGTCTTTGCAATTACATGCATCATACACACATACATCAGAGAGTTGGATAATGATGATGACAGAAGAATTCATGTCTTTGAGTTGTGGTGCTGGAGAGTATTGAACATATCATGGACAGCCAGGAGAACAAATAGGTCTGTCTTGGACAAGGTGAAAACCAAGTTCCTCCTTGGAGGCTAGGATTTTGAAGCTGTGTCTCACATACTTTGGCCACATGGCTGGGGGAGGGGCAAGCCCTTGGAGAAGAACATTGTGCTTGGAAGGGTGGAGGAACAGTGCAAGAGAGAAAGACCCCAGATGAGATGGATTGGCATGATAACTGAGACAATGGAATTAGGTGTGTCGGTGAAACTCGCTCAGGATAGGGCAGCCTTCAGGAACTGCTGGTCCCTGTTTTTTGGGGTTTTTTTTAAATTTTTATTATTTTGTGTGTGAGTGTACCATCAAATCAGATCTGACTGGTACAGGAGGAGATTGTCCCTCCTTCCCCAGCAGAGCATCTGGTGGATTCGAACCGTGCGCCTCTGGGATTGCAGTGCAGCTTCTTGCCACTAGGCCACCAGAGCTCCCCTTGGTCCCTGTTTTTTATGCTCTCTGCTCTATCTCATT